CTTAGCGTTAAAAACTACGTACATATATCGTTTAAGCAATATAATGTTAAGGTAAATACGTTGAAAAACGAAATGATTCTACCCACGGGAAATTGTAAATACACGGGATTACATTGCATGGACGAAGAGGGGTATACTAATTATTGGTCGCCGCTGTTCCGTGAGGGCTGCCACCAGGGAACACACACCGTTTGATATCGCGGCGAAGCAAAAAGAATTCAATCAACCAAACGCCTCACTGCCTACTCTTTGCCATACGGGAATAAAAAAATAGTCATTTTTGTTCGTACACAACATGACGTCTGTAACACAACGCTATTTCAAACGGAACATCCGCAACTCATTATTAAGGAAATTAGAGCAAATCCCTCCGAGGTATCAACGATCAACCAATTGCATTTCCTGGCAAATTCTGCATCATTACACTATCACATCAGCAACGTCGATGAGACAAACGAATTAATATATTCCAAGATATTGCTAACTAAATGCATGTCTAGGACAATCGAATTACAGACCGCCATTCGAATGGCATACCTGGATCCAACCCAGTTAGCCTATATCCTTGCAAATGGACCCGGGTTCTCCGCCCGCATTCAAGGCGAAGCCGCTGAAATTTTTCAGTGCACTCCAACACCAGTGCAGAGGAGGCCCACGGATAACTGCTTCCGGGAACTGCCGATTACAGTCGACGGTGCACCTATGTACCTAGCGCCAAGGACACGCACTATTTCCGCTACCGGAACTGAGGTCAGTTGCGGTCCAGAAACTAAGGCTACTTTTAAGCTCAGAAATCGCTGGACACTGTACCAGTCTGAACCAAAAGATACTGCCTCTCCCGTGCTCCTAACGCCGAACGAAGCAACTTGGGGACAACCACTGGTCGCCGCTCCGAGTACTACTCACAACCCCACTGATCGGCATAGCTCTTTGGGAAGTATTCTTCTTGAGAAAGTAATCTGGACCTGCTGGATAGGTTCATGTATAATCGTCTCATTGCTAGGAGCAAAATATGTTTGGCAACATATCAAATCAACAAAGTCAAAAGAGCCTAATACCTTTGTAACCTCTCGCATTGAAGCTATCCCACCTCCAGGTCTAACCACAGACCGAGAACATTTAAGATGCATCTGGGAGTCACAGATTGAGCCTACGGCCCCTAGAACCCGACAACCAATGGCAGCCGTAGACCGAACTCACCTCGCTTTACATAACGAACTAGCCGAGATGTCACGATCGCTTGGACAACTGGAACGAAGGATCAACGTCTCTTTCGAACGCACCTTTTCTGGAGAAGGAAGATGTACACGCACCGGTCCTAAGGGAAATAAATCAACAAGTAACAGTAATACCGTTCTTCGTCACTGACACGATTGCAACTATCTCCTCATTTAGATTCATTTCCTCTTCAACGTATTTACGCAATAAAGAAAAAAACTATGTAAACCAAAACATCATGTTATTTTATTTTACGATTATTATAAGAAGAAATTATTTTTTTCTAACTATTGCGACATACAATTTTTTTTTTTATTATTTATCTATTATCATTATTGTTGCGTTACTGTTTCTTTTCCTCGTAAGTAAAAACACCAACGCCTTATCACCATATTTCATTACTTTAAGTTTCTCGTTATATTTTCTTTTTCTATATCATTGTATTATCTTCTATATCTTGTTTATTATTTAAGTTTTCGCGTTATACCATCTCATTTGGCCAAGGGTTAGGCCTGTTAACCCACCTTACACACAATTAGATCGCTACATCCCTGATTTCGCTCTTCCTTAGCAAGGGGGTGTTACGTCTAGCGCCTCACGAAGTATCCAATTTTTCTGTTTTCTTTTTCTTTACTATATTATATATTTGATATTATATGAAGCAGTAGCTTGAACATTATAATATTAATTGATGCTGCATGGAAGTAACGGCCTAGCATTATGGTATCAACTGACATTGTATTATACATCTAATATCATACAAAATGATAGTTTAACATTGTGATATTATGTAAAGTAATAATTTAA